CCCGATCCCCCTTTTCCCTCATCTAGTGCTCAATATCCCTTTCAATGTCCCGACAAACATATCATAAGCTGATTAAAACCCCACAATTCTTCATACTTTCAGACGACCGCCTTAGACAAAGTTTCCAGATATTTCCAAGGCAGAGGCTCACCGCTCGACAAACTACGCGGCATTGAGGACTAACTGGACCACCTGGGAATGTATGACCGATCCAATGTAGGCAGCAGCTCCAACATGAGGAATTCGCCATTGTCATCGTCATTTCTGGGAACTCGTGTCGTCAGTCACAGGTTGTGCAGACGATGTGTTTTGTCGAAGTAAACAGGAATGCTGTGAGGTCATTCAGAGAAGGGATTCCTTTGAAAAAATTACAAGACGTTAATAGGATAGACGTTAAGCGCATAGAGCATTGCATAGGTGGACATGCGCTATATAAATCCAATCAATTATTATTATTATTATTTGGGATTCTTCAGCAAAAGATACACAATGGTGGACATATTTATTTTTTAACCTCTCTATCGTTGTGTAGATAAACGTAGTCGTTTATGATCTCTCAAACTGGTTATCTGCCATTTTCCCCCTTATGCTTCATAGAGGACGTTCTCGAAGATATATTTGTAAGTTGTTCAGTAATGTACTCTTGGTCTTAATGAGGAGAAATATATTATCGCTTTGTTTAAATCCCTCTTGAATGAACATTTTTATCGTGTTGGAACACAACGAAGAAACGAATCAGCATTGAACGGGTTGATAGAAATAGGACTTTATTGTTGAATAGTTTCCGATGTATAACGAATAGCGTCTCAGTATAATAAACTATTATGTGTACTTTACAACTTCGATTAAATCATATCGTCAGCACAACCACCGTTTGAGCCTGTGGTACACGTTCGACTTCAAGGCAAGCCTGCGTTAAATGTAGTGAAACTTACTTGTGCGGTTGGCGTTAGGATGTACTGCATCTTAATGTATTCTGTCCTGTATGGCAGTCTGTGAAGTGAATGAGTTGATATGATAAAAACACACGAACGACTCAAGGGTGTTTTGTTTTTCTTTTTTTCTTCTCCGACAGTGTGTTTCGTGTATCAGACACATTGGAGAGCCAAAACCTGGACAAAACAAACATCTATACTTATCTACCTTTGAGGTGTGAAAGTGTATGTAACACGTTATTTTTTGCAGCGATAAACAGAGATGAAAAAAACCCAACCTTCTCAATTTGGTATTCGAGTTCGTCATGGCATTCATGAAGGTGCTCCATTTGCTAAGGTGTTGTCGTTATTTCCTTTTGAGCAATGAACTCTGGTTCGAATCCAGGTGCGTGTATTTTTAACATGGGTTGTTTTTGGAGTTTTCATGGTCCTTCGTTATGTTGCGGAGAGGGACGTAAAAATGGAGATCCATCGTCTCAAATGACAGTTAGATCTATAGTGTTATTGGGGGGAGGGGGGGGGGGCGTTATATCCCAACCAAATCAAAACTGCTAAAAGAAACAAAATCTGCAGATTTATAGTAAAAACTCATAATTTTTCTTTAAAAAAAAAGTTTCAACTGTCACACTTTGTTAGATCTCTTGAAGACGAAATTCAAAAGCATTGGGGACTTCAATGAGAACAGAAACATTAACGGAAGCCTCGGATCTCCATTCTAACGGCAAACTTATAGGGACTGTTAGACCTCTTTGTGGAGCTTCGAATCGGAAGAGGAAGAAATACTCTCATTTTACAATGACCAATTAATCTTCGAACAGGGGGATTGATAAAAGAAAGCTCTGGCAATCTTATTAGATTTTACTAGATAAGACACCCAAAGTCACCTTCTTTGTTTTTCTACAACCGTAACACAATTTTTCCCAACCAGGTGAACACCGTTCCAGATAATCCCAAGTTTGATGACAGCAACGTGGGTGGTTGGCTGGTGCTCTGGTGTGGTTTGCTCCTTCTTTCCTAACAAACATCTGTCGTCCTTATCTCCCCTCCTTCTTTTTTGTGTATGTTACTCTCTTGTAACACTTAATCTATTTTTCGGCACTTATATGACCTTATTGTGTTGCAAGTGCCGTAAAACTCTTACGAAAGCTGAAATGTGACAGCAAAGTTACGTTCTTTAGGTTTCACGGAAAGGGTGCGACTTTCAAACCAGAATCCAGGAGGTTGGGGGGGGGGGCGAATCACATTGTAATTGTAACAAAGGCAATAAAACAAAAAGGTTGTTGTCACAATCAACTTGTCATCTACTCGACTCATCTGGATAAAAACGCAACAGCACTACCAACGAGAGTGACCAAAGCAGCAAACAAACAAACAAGCGAACAATAAAAAAAAGAGACCAAAATAAAAACAAAACAAACAAACTCAAATAACAACAAAAAAGCAAACAATCACAACAAGAAAACAACCCCCCCCCCAACAACAACCAAAAAACCTCAAAGAACCCAACAGCAGAAAAGTGGAAACTAAAGGCTCATTATTGTGCATACCAGTTATGGTTGAATCTTCATCTACAACTAGTTTATTACGTGGAAATCTTGATGGTGATAAAGATATGAATTTCCTGAGCTGACATTCATTTTCCAAATATGAAGTGGTGCAAAGTAGCTGCTTTAACTTACAGGCCTTAGGAAAGAAGGTTAAATTTTTTTTAGAAGCTTATAATAACACCCGCTCGGATGAAAACTACTCGCGGGAATAAACCATTCTCAAATTATGTCTTGACAACAGCTTCTGTCGAGTTCCACATCGGTAATGGGACATAAGTGCTGCAGTACACCGAACCCACAGAGTTATTTCCCAGTTACCTCCTATGCCACTATTTTCCAGCCTTTGCGCCCAAGTGTCTGTCCTGCTGCTTCGCCTCCTACCCCCCCCCCCCCCCCACCCTATACCCCGCCTAAGAAAAAAGATAGATACAGAAAAAAATAATGATGAAGAAAAAACCCCCCAAAACCCCCCAAAAAACAAACGAACACATTGTTGTTATTATTCTTATCGGTGGTGGTTGGAGGGTGCCACTGGTTGGTCATACTTCTTTACATTTTAATTTTACTTTCCCTCATTTGCTTCTGTCTGTCTTTCTTTTTCCCTGCTACACTAATCATTATAGCATTGAGGTGGTTCTTATTCTCTTCACACAAACAAATGACCCCTACTTTCTTCCTCCCCGAATACGATATGTGTCCCAGAGACTCCATACGTCATAATATGATTCCAATAGCCCTACAGCTATTTCAATAACGTTGTTTAAATTTGAACATTTTCGTAATAAAATGTGAATGAAACTTCTTTATCAAGAGTGAAAAAGAGCACAATAGTCATGTTTGTTAAGACTTTAGGGATTGGAAGAGATGTGAGAGAAGTTAAAGAAAAGAAAACGTAAAGCACGAGGCAGACGAAGGTAGACCATGCTCTCTCTTTACTTGCCTTGAAATAGTAATAACAAAACCAGTATTATATTAGGCCTACTTACTTTTACTTTTAAATAAAGTAAGACAATACTTCGGTTGCGTCCCTTGGAGTATAATCAAAGCTTTAATTTTACGGAAAGTTTAAATGCATATTTTTAAAGTTTTAGTAGAGGGTTTTCGGGTGCCCGCAACTGCATAAGGTCATAACTCATATGAGCGCCAAATGGTGGGTGTCAACAGAGAAGTCTTTACAGGGAATCAGACCTACTCTGCTCACCTCTCTAGCTTCAACAGCACAAAGTCTGCTTCGACAAACATACACAAGAAGTGGAGGAAAATAACGATAGTAAGGATTAGGAAAGAAAAAGCAGCAGTTCAGGCAGCTATGAGCATGACATGGTTGGATCAGCCCATCTACATTTCTACTGTGCATTAGAACGAGAAATGTCCCCCCTTTGGGAATGGCCTAAAGACACTTCAGTCAGTGGCACCGCCCCAGGGGTTATGCCTATTTTTACTGAGTGTGATTGAGTGTGTGTGTGTTTGTGTGTGTGTGTTTGTGTGTGTGTGTGTGTGTGTGTGTGTGTGTGAGTGTGTGCGTGTGTGCGTGCGTGCGTGTGTGCGTGC